ATATAATAATAATAATAATAATAATAATATATAGTACTTTTAAGTACCTTAGGTGGCTGCTTTTTCTGCTGCTGGTGCGAGTCCACATTCTTTTTCAATATGGCTTCGAAAGTGTCTGTGAACGGCAGGAACTTTGTGGCTGGGTTGACATCCATTTGAGTCTGTGTGAATATCAAATTCAATATCTGTATCACAATAATTATGGGCAAAACACACACATATATGTTTAAAACACACGCATATAAACACACGCATATATTTTTAAACACACGCATATATATTTAAAACACATACATATGTGTTTAAAACACACACATATAAGTTTTGCTATGTTCAGGTATTCGTTCCGTTCGACTACACCCGACCTGGATAACACCTCTTTGCCCCGAGGCTCTGCACTAGGTCTTACGTAGATAAACTAGTACATACGTCTATAACCAATACACACGCATTGCAATGTGTGTGTATATAAACATAGGGCATTCGAATAGGTACACAACAGGTCTTACGTAGATGAACTAGTACATACGTCTATAACCAATGCACACGCCTTGCAATGTGTGTGTGTAAAAACATAGGTACACAACAGGTCTTACATAGATAAACTAGTACATACGTCTATAACCAATACACACGCTTTGCAATGTGTGTGTATATAAACATAGGGCATACGAATAAGGACACAACAGGTCTTACGTAGATAAACTAGTGCATACGTCTACAACCAATACACACGCATTGCAATGTGTGTGTATATGAACATAGGGCATTCGAATAGGTACACAACAGGTCATACGTAGATAAACTAGTACATAGGTCTATAACCAATATACACGCAACGCAATGGATGTGCATATGAACATAGGGTATTCGAATAAGGACACCAGAATAACCCAATCCCCGGTTGTACATAGCTCATCGAAGTAGTGACTGAGCAATAACGGAAGCGTTACAGCACAACACCCAGACACACACACCCCCAACTACATGTGTGTGTGCATCAGCAGACTGTCACCAAGGGTGCTGCATCTACTGGCACTATGAACAACTGAGCAGCCAGGCAATCAGATGGGTGGGTGAATAGAGCTGACTCGCGTATCTACACATGGTGAGACATACACTCACACACACACACACACACACACATATATATATATATATATATACTACCTATATGAGGAACTGTATGTTCACGCAAGAACATATACGCGTGCAAACACACAGCTCACACATTTGCCCACCGACAAACGCTACCCCTGTTCGGGCCACCTACCGATTCCGTGACCAGCGGAGTGTCTGACGCTTTCAGCGCTGTCAAGAATGAGCGGTAGGCCGTGCGGAAGGCTGCCGGTGTCT